GCCCCCCCCCCCCCCCCCCGCCAAGGCCTGGGCGGGGCTCTCAGTGCTTGTAAGTGTCCGTGGAAGGAAATCGCAACAAATCCCGCCTCTCTGACATTCCCCGAGGACAAGGGCGGCTGGGTCACTGTTTAGAGCTCTGCTGAGGCTCAAGTTTGAGAAACAGCAGCGGCAGCGGCACAGCAGAGCCAGCCCACGGGCGCCTTTGCTTCAGAGGTTCCGGTGCACGTCCAGCCCTGGTCGCCGGGTGCTGGCGGCGTGGATTCCGGGGGTCCTGCTCCCGCCCCTGTCCTCTGACTGTGCAGCAGACTGGAGTCTTCCCTGTGCTCCAATTTGGAGGCCGCACTCCCTGGGCTGTGGGAAGCAGGGGGCGGCAAACCACAGCTCCCAGGTCCGGTGCAGCTGCCGCCTGTCCCGGTGAATGAGGTTCTTATCCCACGCTGTTTGTTTCTGCGCTGTTTGTGCTACAGTGGCAGAGGGCGGCCCTGGTCCAGGCATGGCTCTGGCACCGCCTTGCCGAGAGAGGAAGGCTGTGCGAAGGCCGCTGTGGAGGGCTCAGCTCCAGGAGGATGCCTGGAGGCCCGGCAGAAGGACCAGGAGGTAGGAGAGCAATTAGGAAAAGGCGCTCACAGCCTTGCTCAGGGGCCGGGACCAGTGAGAGCTGCAGGTCTTCGCCTGGAGTTTGCACATGGGAGCTGCCCCGTCCCCAGGCAGTCTTCTGTCCTGCAGCTGACCTGGACCCTGCACTGAATGAAAGAACCGTGCACCTAGAATCTTGTAAAAGCAGTGTTGCCACAGGCGCCTCAGGGGGTCTAGTCCACCTCCCCATATAGGGATGGGGAAACTGGGCCCAGAGAGAGGAGATTGTGATGGACACAGAAGGAAGGTGCAGGGAAAGTGTTTTAGAGGCTGTGTCCTGAGGGTCCCTGGGAGTCACGGAAGGGCATTTTACAGTTGAGGCCATGGGGGCGGGGTGGGAAGTGACCGCCAGGTGGCGCTGTTCCTCGGAGCGCGTGCAGCCGGGTGGGAGCTCAAGTTCCGTGTGCTGTATCTCAGGGTTTTGTTTTCTTTCAGGTAGTAAGTAAGTGGAAAGTGAAGAGAGACGACTCTGCATGGTCTCCCTTATATGATAAAGTCAAAGCAGGGACAACTGTGGGACCGTCTGCGGCAGGACGACGGCGACATGGCGCTGCTGCCGCGGCCCTGCTGCCCTGGTGGTTACGTCTTTTTTTTTTTTTTTTTTTTTTTTAAGATTTACTTATTTATTTGAGAGGCAGAATGAGTGAGTGAGAGAAAGAGAGAGAATCTTCCATCTGCTGGTTCATTCCTCAAATGGCTGCAACAGCCTAGGCTGGGCCAGGCCAAAGCCAGGAGCCAGGAACGCCCTAGGCTCCTGCTAGGGAAGCAGGGGTCCAAGCACTTGGGCCATCATCCACTGTCTTTCCAGGTGCATCAGCAGGGAGCTGGATGGAGGCATGGAAGCCAGGACTCCACCAGTGCTCTGATCTGGGACGCTGGTATCACAAGTGGTGGCTTAACCCACTGTGCCGCAACGTTGGCTCCCAAAAGAAGCATTGCTTTTCTTCAATTGAAAAAAAAAAAAAAAGCAACCCATAACGATCAAATCCGGCTTGGCCGCCCTGTCCTTCTGCCAGCCCCAGCTCGGTTTTGGGTTGTCCCATAGCTGAAGGATCGTGAGTGGCCCCGGGGAAATGCTTCCCGAGGAGTCCCTTGGCTGAGGCTCAGGGACTGTGGCGCCCACAGACTCCCGCTGCAGGAAGTGGCTCCAAGCCAGCGTGGCCTGACCTGCCGCACATCACCGGATGGTGGCGCTGTCTTCCCCCAGGCTCTCAGGCGCCCGTGGGGCTGTGTAGCGAGGCAGTGCCGCGGTTCCTGGCCCCTGCAGGCTGGAGAGCGGCCTTTGCCGCTCAGGGCTACCTGCCCCACGCGCACTGCTTGTCCTCAGCTTTCTGACGGTCTGTGAGGCTGCCGTCGCTCTGAGAAACAAACTGGAGCAGAAACCAAGGCCAGCCGCTGTGCTCCGAGTAAACACGTGCTGGGGCGGGGTCGGGAGAGGGAAGCACCTTCGGTCCTGCTGGGGCTGTGCTGTCCAACGCCATGCAGCACCCCCTCCCCGGCAAGGGTACCTGCACCCCTGGAGCCCCCCCCCCCCACAGCAGCTCCTCCCTGGTGCCCCCAGAGACTGTTTGTGGGGCTGGGGGACCATCCTGTGATGGCGGATGAGAGGGAGGTGGATCGGAGAGACTCACCAGGGCTGAAGCGCGCCTTGCCGGTCGTCTGCACCCAGACCCGGCACGGCGGACCCTCCGGCTTCTCACGGCTCCCACTTGCTGGGGTTGTCAAGGACTTCGCTCTTCTGCTTGGGAACCCCATCCTTCTTCTGTCCCTGGCCAATCCACGGACGATGCCCGTGAGTCTGCTGCTGGCATCTCACGGGGGTGTGATGGGGATGCCGCCTGTGAGTGGTGAGCTATGGCTGTGACTGTTTTGATGAGCAGGATGGCAGAGAGACAAAGAGAACAGAAAAGAGAGGCATTTGTATGTGAACTTGGGTCTCAGCACCCACGCGTGTGTGTGGGTTGCAAAGCACGTTACGTCGTTCTAACTCAGGTTGCGCTCACAAGAGTTGGGGCACATGGTCGGTGTGTTGCGTTCCCAGCTGAGGACCTGGGGCACAGCGAGCCGGCTGCCCTGGCCTGGCCCACCGGTGGCTGAGCGGCAGTGCCAGGGGCACAAGTGATGGAGTTCCCCTCCCTCGTGTAAGGAGAACACAGCCTTAGGCGGCTTGCCCGGTGGGAAGAAGAGGTCCTGACTGCCCGGGTCACCTGCCCTTGGGGGCTGTCCCCGAGTCCTTGACCAAGATGGGGGAGTCTTCTATCACGGTCGAGAGCAGATAAAGGACCCCAGTTGTTGGGTGTTGGGTGGAGGGTTTTCAGGGAAACCCCGCTCCAGGTGAAGAGCTCAAGAGGGGACTCCCGGACCCTGAATCTTAGGAGACCCACGGCCCTGAACTAACCTCGTAGTTCTAGGAGGACAAGACCTTGTCTGAGAGCCTCTCCATCCATCCCCCTTCCCCTCTTCGTGCTGGGCTCCACGGCAGCCCGCCCACATGCTGGACTCCTGGGCACCTGGACCAGGGAGAAGCTGAGCCTTCCGTGTGCTTCTTCCCTCTGAGAATGCCCCTCCTCTGCAGATGATTGACATGTTAGAGGGGCCCCACCTACCACAGGGGTGTGGCTCCCTCCTCACACATCAGAATTCAGCAGCCCAGTCCTGGCATCCCATGGAACACACTCGGACAGCAGCAGGAGAGGTGACCCCTGGCAGAGCCCCCATGCATGGACTTCCATCCAGACCCCTGATGGCTTTGGAGACCTTGGAAGCAAACCAGTGACTTATTCTGCCGTTGCTCATTCTACCCCGGAGCCGGCGCTGTGGTGGGTCAGCAAGTAAATCCACTGCCCGCAGTGCTGCCGCCGTCCCACATGAGTGCCCTTTCAAGTCCCGGCTGCTCCACATCCGATGCAGCTCCCTGCTACTGTGCCTGGGAAAGCAGCAGAGGAAGGCCTCTGCACCTACGTGGGAGACCTGGAAGGAGCTCCTGGCTCCTGGCTTCAGCCTGGCCCAGCTCTGGTGGTTGCTGCCATTTGGGAAATGAACGAGCTGATAGAAGACCTCTGTCTCTGTCTCTGTCTTTTTCTCTGACTCTGCCTTTCAAATAAATAAAATAAATCTTTTTTTATAAAAGAAACATTAAAGACAAATGAGTTATGAGAAAATTGGTTTTCATATGTTTTTGGGTTGAAGAATTGAGGTGATCTTCCACTATTTTATTAGAAGTTTTTCTTTTTTTAAAGATTCATTCTATTTATTTGAAAGACAGAGTTACAGAGAGAAGTGGAGAGAGAGAGAGAGAGAGAGAGAGGTCTTCTATCCGTTGGTTCACTTCCCAAATGGCCACAATGGCTGGAGCTGGGCGGGTACAAATTAGGGGCCAGGAGCTTCTTCCAGGTCTCCCACATGGGTGCAGGACCCAAGCACTTGGGCCATCTTCTGCTGCTTTCCCAGGCCATAGCAGAGAGCTGGATCGGAAGAGGAGCAGCCGGGACTCAAAGGGGGTATGGGGATACTCCATATGGGATGCCGGCGCTGCAGGCTGGGGCTTTAACCCGCTGCGCCACAGCGCTGGCCCCTCAAAGTTGTTTTATTAGCAAGTGATGACTTTGCTTTGTGAGATGTGAATCATAGCAGGTAACATAAATTAACATGTAAGAAATGCGCTCACAAATTCAGACTTGGCAAGTGGAGGGCTCACGAGGGCCGCTTTTGCATGTCCATTCTCAACTCCATGTACGGTGACATCATCTTGGTAGCTTGGTGGTTGTTTGCATATTTATACCATGGAAGCTGGCACATGCTACAAACTGGCGTATTTTCGAGATGTGATTGACCAGCTCATCCCTGCTTGTTTATTCTCACATTGCTTAGGCATCTATGATGTTGTTCCAGGACTCAGTAACACGGATCTCGGCTTGGTCTTACTATGCTTCTCAACACCTGCTTAATGAAGCCCGTTCCCAGGGAGCCCTTACTCTGCAACCAGGCCCTGTGCTGGGCTCTGGGGATAGAAGCCCAGAGCAGGGGTGCGGAGGGAGGCGCCAGCCTGCAGGGGTGGGAAGAGAGGGCCAGAAGAGCGAGGGCTCCTCACCTGGGAAGCGAGAGAGCCTTGGAGGGCGCGTGCCTGAGCCCAGGCAGCTCACGTGTCCGTGGCAGATCCTGGTCACAGAGACTCAGGGTATGTGATGGTAGTGTGTTGATGATGAGCCGAAGAAAGCAGAATTTTGCTGTTCCCCTGTTTCCCACCATGGAGACCTATGAGCTATGCCAGAGATCTATTTTCACTCTGGCTTAAGTAGAATTCGGTATTTTCCTCTCTTCTCACACTCACAGTCCATTTTCTGGGGTCTTTCCCCGCTAACTGTCTCCCTGCAGGGCAGGAGGAGCCTCCAAAGTGAGTGCCCCGGAGCACGAGGTAGAGGGACTAGAGAGACGCGTGGAGCAGCAAATGCTACCCAGAGGCAGGTCTGAGGCTCACAGGCGCCGCGGCGTGCTGTGCAGATGGGAGCCCATCACTCTGCTCCCTTCCATGGGGCTGTTCCCCCACGCCCGGGCCAATACTGCGTGCTCTTATTCTACTTAAAAAAATCAGATAAGGAGAAAACGGCATCTTGTCATTCTCATAATTTTGTATTTCTTCATCTTAAATGAACCTACACTGATAGGCAGGGAAAATCCTACTTAACTGGAACAAGCCTCAAGAACTGGATGCCCCAAATAATAAATTGATATGCACAGCCTTTCCTCTCCAGTCTCCAAGGTTTCCTCAACCTATGCATTTCTGGAGCACCATTTCCTGACGCCTGGGAGACACAGCAGTACCAGATGCTACGCGAAGTTGCCGTCTTAAAGCCTTGCACCCCCTGCAAAGTGTGGGATGGGCACAACTCCTGGGTGTGCCTGGGCAGCTTCCTGCGGTAGGAGCCACATGGCAGAAAAGGTGAGGCAGGCAGAATTTCCAGGAGCCAGCCTGCAAGGGCACAACTCCATCTCCCTCTGGCTGCCACACACTCCTGTGCACCCACACTGGATTTGAAAACAGCAACTCAAGACCAAACCGCCCCCTCTGCGTGCAGCAGCCCTCCTGCCTCTGGAGAGCGGCACGTGGGGAGTCAGAATGGGAGCAGAGAGCCTGGTGCACACAGGTGCACACGGAGGGCTGAGGCTCCCTCCATACACGCTCTGTCTTCGCTTCTGGTCCGCTCACCTGTGGTCCCCAGGCACTCTTTTTAAAGCTCTGGAAGGGTAGGCAGCGTTCTCCACCCCACCAGCACTTCCTCTGAGAAAAATACAAATGAGTGGAACCCAGCGACTTACAAAGGGGTGTGAAGCGAAGCATTGGGGGTCATTATGCAAAACAGCTTTAGCTTAGAGGAGCGTCCCCCCAATTGATGAAGCTTCAGACATGATGTTGTAAAATCACAAGCGTCCTGTTTGATGAGAGGAGAGGAATCGTGGCTTTTAGTGCACCGGATGAGTCCCAGGAGGGTCAGGTGGGAAGATGGATTCTACTTAGCAAATCAAAGGAAACATGCAAAGTCTGCTCTCTGGTTTATAGAGATGCTGTGTTTATAGCCTTGCTGTGTGAGGAGGTGGGAGAGAATGACAAAGGGGTGTTTGAAGATGTAACACATGCAGATTGCACCCAGAGGCCTCTGTGGGGGGGTGGGGCTGGCTGGAGACAGCTCCTTCCTCCTTCCTCCTTCCGATGCTGTCTGTGAAAGGTTATTCATTGGTCAGCTCTGTGTAACCCTGAGGTCGGTGCCAACTCCCAGTGCATGTCCTGGGAAACCCGCTCTGTACTGAATTCTCCAATTCTATCTTTTTCTTGCTAGAACTTCAGCAGCCGGCGGTCCATGTGTACATATTTGCTCTTTAGAGAAATACGTGTTCAGCTTTGATGCAGTGCTCGGAGCACTGGCAAATATTCATTTGCTCAACCATCTCTGCTACCACCTTGGCGATCCTCTTCCATACCTGCTTTGCCTTGCTCTTAGGGGACCTATCTTCCTACGGTCCCAAATTCTGAGAGGGAGCTTTCGCGATGTGGGCAGTGAGCTGCCTTGGAGGGGCCAGGAGCTATCAGAAGGTGGGATGGTGGAGCTGAGACTTTCCCTGGCAGCTTCTACGTAGCCTTTGGAGAAACCTGGCCCCAGGCTTTGGGACCTCACACAGAGATGATAGTAATACGGGATGTCAGGATTTGGTTTTGTGTCTTAATGTCAACTTCTTGCCTGGTCTTCAGGCCTTTTAATTCTTCTTGGTTCTCGCCATGACACAGTTGTTGTCCTTTTGGGATGGGGGCGTGGTGGTGGCCAAGCTAAGAAGAGGAAAAGAAGAGGCCCTGGCGCTGAGAGACGGTGACACCGAGACGAGACTGTGGCACTGTAGGCTGGGTGTGGTCTTAGAAAAATGGCTTCACAGCCCTGGCTCCCACTGATTTTTTTTTTCTTTATAAAATCAAGATAAGGATGTACTCACCATGTAGGCTGGTATAAGGATCAAGCAATATCATCAAAACCCATGATGAGCACTCGACAGCTGAGTTTAGAACAAGGAGGCAAGGCACGAGAAAGGGCTACAGACACTCAGATAGCGCAGGGCCATTTGGGTTTCATGTCTCAGGTCTGCTCTGGGAGTCAAAAAACTATTGCTCATTTTTGTTTGTTTCCGGCTTCTTGGACTCACCCTTATCTGTCTGGGTCAGCTCTGGTTTTCTTTCTGTCTTTTTTTTTTTTTATAGACTTAACTTATTCATTTGAAAGTCAGAATGTCAGAATTACAGAGATGGGAAAGAGAGAGAGAGAGAGAGAGAGAGAGAGACTTCCATCTGCTGGTTCACTCCCCAGATGGCTGCAACAGCCAGCGCTGGGCCAGGCCAAAGCCAGGAGCTTCATCTGGGTCTCCCACGGGGGTGGCAGTGGCCCAAGCACGTGGACTGTCTTCCACTGCTTTTCCCAGGCCATTAGCAGGGAGCTGGGTTGGCTGTAGAGTAGCTGGGACAGGAACCTGGACCTATAGGGATGCTGGCATAGCAGGCAGCAGCTTTAACCTATTGCACGACAATGACCCCCCCCCCCAACTATGGTTTTCAAAGCCCCCCTCACAAGCCCGAGCTGCTCAGACACTCTGTTGTCAACCTCCAAGTCTTCCCAAGTGTGGTTGCTTCCTGTTGGCAGGAACTGTACCATGCTTTACCCCCTGCAGGTTAAGCCGCAGCCGGGTGCCTGCAATACAGGATGTTGGTGTGGATTGGATACATTTGTTGCTGCTTAAAGTGAGTCTGAAAGGTCAACAATCAAAGAAAGAATACATGTAGCACATCTTGGTCACCAAACACCATCAACCCACCAATACCAATAATCAGTTTTTTCTCTGGTTAGAGGAGGCTGGTGGAGTTTTAATACAGGGAGTGTCTGCTCTTCTGCTCCACCGTGGGCAACAGGAATAGTCATGCATCCATATGGGTTTGCCAACCACCAGGTCAACACCCACTCAAGGCACAAGCAGTCAATGGCTGCAAGGACTTTGCTTCTTCGAAAATAATAATAAAAAAAAACCTTTTGAACTCCCCCCAACAGCCAGCTCAATATCAAAGAGCCAAGAGGCACCTGTGCTTCCTCCACACGCCTTTAATGAGGGGAGGGATTGTAGTGGTCAGCTCCCCAGCTGAGTAACCAGGTGATGCACACAGCAGGCAGATAATCAGGGCAGTGAGCGCCAAGCACTGGAGCCAACGCCCACCTGGGGTGGGTATAAAAGGGCCCGGAGGGGAGGAGGCTCTCACACTCCTGGCCTGGCCTCCCCAGCTGATCGGAAACTCCCGCACAGCCTCAGCCCAGCAACATGACCTCCTGCACCGGCTCATCCTACCCTGCGGGCAGCATCCGGAGCCTTGGAGCAAGATGTGTCCCCATCGCCTGCTCTGAGGTCGGCGTCCAGTACGGGCCAGAGGGCGACACCGCCCCCATGTGCCTCTCGGCCACCGTGGCGCACTCCAACCGGGTCCGCGTGGGGAACACCCCGCTGGGCAGACCCAGCCTCTGTCTGCCCCAAAGCTGCCGGACGGCCTGTCCCTTGCCCGGGACCTGCCACATTCCCGGCAACGTGGGCATCTGCGGGGCCTACGGGGAGGTGACCCTGAACGGGCACGAGAAGGAGACCATGCAGTTCCTGAACGACCGCCTGGCCAACTACCTGGAGAAGGTGCGGCAGCTGGAGCGCGAGAACGCGGAGCTGGAGACCACCATCCGGGAGACGAGCAAGTGCCACGAGACCAGCGTGTGCCCGGACTACCAGTCCTACTTCCGCACCATCGAGGAGCTCCAGCAGAAGGTGAGGCTTGCGAGAGCCCGGGGCGTCTGGGGTGAGAATGCGGGGAGACGTGGAAGAGCCACTGAGCTCTGAGTTTGGGATTCTCTTGACATGAGTGCCGTTGAGTGTGGAGGCCATGGTGGACCTGGGGTCCCGAGTGAGATGACCCACACATGAGCTGTCTTTTTGGTTTTGCTCAGATCCTGTGCACCAAGGCTGAGAATGCCAGGATTGTCATACAGATCGACAACGCCAAGCTGGCCGCGGATGACTTCAGAATCAAGTAAGCGGGGAGGGATGAGGCCCTGGTGACGCCTTCCTTCATCCTCCATCCCAATGCCAAGATATGTGTCGAATGAAAGGATTTGCCGTCCTTTTTCTTACTTCCTAAGTTTCAAAAATTAGCATTTCCATTACAGTCAACACTAACGGAAGGTAGCAAAGAAAAATCATGCCTGTGTATTAGTTGCCCTTCATTTGTTTCTCCCAAGTGGAAGATACGGCAGCCTAAGTTCATCAACCAGCAGCAAAGTAAGGAGACTCTCGGGGTAAAGTGGGCAAAGGCAGCCACTGCACTTTACGTGCGCGTCAGGGAATCCACTCACGGGCCAGGCCTGTCCAGGTTCACCTACGGAATCCTAAGGCCCCAGAGGTTTCCACTAAGCAAAAGGATGGGAAAACAGCCAAAGACAAAATAAAGGAGCGGCCAGTCAACTCCCAGGCAGCTGGCCATGGCTCCCCGCTCATCCTAGCCGGCAGCTGCCTATGCCACGGGCTGAGCACTTAGCTGGGCTGTGAGACACAAGACCTTAGGCAAGGCAGCTAATGTTTCTGATCTCAGGAGCCTCAAATGCAAGGGCAAAGAAGTGTATTGTGCGATGTCCTCTTGTGGAAGCTTCAGCAGAACACGAGCTCTTGAGCAGGGGGCTGTGTCTAATTCACCTCCAAGGCCAAGGGCCTCAGAGGAGGCGGCTCCTCCGGGGGCAGCTGAGAGGGCTGGCCTTGGCCCCCTTGTGACCCGCGTCTCCCATGGTGGAAGGCACGAGAGCGAGCGCTCCCTGCGCCAGCTGGTGGAGGCGGACATGTGTGGGATGCACAAACTCATGGACGACCTGAGCTTGGCCAAGGCCGACCTGGAGGCCCAGCAGGAGTCCCTGAAGGAGGAGCAGCTGAGCCTCAAGAGCAACCACGAGCAGGTGCGGCCCTGGGCTGCCTCGCGGGGGAGGGGGGCGCTGGGCAGGCCCCGGGGCAGCTGTCCTGCGGCTCTCAGAGCAGAGCCCGGCTCAGTGGGCTCCAGGAGCAAGGGGTGGTGTGGGTCTGGGAGTCCGGCCTGTGTGGAGTGTGGCAGTGTTGCCTTGGGAACTGGGGGGGGTCTCCAGAGGACTCTTCCCACTGGACCCTGGGCCAGACTTGGCCGTGGGCGCGTGCGTGGGCTCCCCTCCTGTTGCTCTGCGTGCCGTCAGAAGCCCTTTCTCGCTCATGGTGTCTGTCTGTTCCGTCCCTGCAGGAAGTGAACACCCTGAGGTGTCAGCTTGGGGACAAGCTGCGCATTGAGCTGGACACTGAGCCCACCATCGACCTGAGCAGGGTGCTGGAGGAGATGCGGTGCCAGTACGAGGCCATGGTGGAGACCAACCGCAAGGACGTGGAGCAGTGGTTCCAGGCGCAGGTGGGGGCGCGGCTGCAGGGCTGGGAGGCCGGGGTTCTGCTGGGGCACTGGGCTGGGAGGGCCCGGCTCTGCTGGGGACACCGGGCTGACCTCGGCTGTCCTGCTGTGTTTCAGTCTGAAGGCATCAGCCTGCAGGCCATGTCCTGCTCCGAGGAGCTGCAGTGCTGCCAGTCGGAGATCCTGGAGCTGCGATGCAAGGTGAACGCCCTGGAGGTGGAGCGCGAAGCCCAGCACAACCTGGTAGGTGTCGTCTTCCCCTCCCCACCCTGTGAAAGCCACCAGCCGTGGCCGGGTGGAGCTTTATTTTGGAGACCTGCATATCCATGGATGGTCAATTTATTATTATTATTATTTTGTATTTATTGTCTCTGTCAGGGCAAACCAAGAAACAAATCTTTAAAAAGTCAGTCTTTCTTCTTATTTGTTTTTCAATGTCAGGATAGGCATTCATGGCTCAGACCTGTACTGAGTTCTGACATTTTGAGGTCTTGGAGAGGCAGGGATGGAGGATCTGCAGCCTCCTGTGCCTTGGCAGTGGTGGGAGTTTGGGGCAGGTCTGGAGAGCTTGAGGAGGGTGTGTGGGTCTGTCCTGTTCTGAGTCGGAGAGTGTGTTGCAGGATCTCGAGCCACTGCCAGCACCCCTGAGATGCGGCAGGTGAGGCAGTGTCCCCGGGGGCCGGGAGTCTCTGACCCCCATGATTTCCCATTGCAGAAGGACTGCCTGCAGAACTCCCTGTGCGAGGCCGAGGCCCGCTTCGGCACCGAGCTGGCCCAGATGCAGATCCTCATCAGCAACGTGGAGGAGCAGCTCTCCGAGATCCGGGCGGACCTGGAGCGGCAGAACCAGGAGTACCAGGTGCTGCTGGACGTCAAGGCCCGGCTGGAGTCGGAGATCAACACGTACCGGAGCCTGCTGGAGAGCGAGGACTGCAAGTACGTGGGGCCTGGGCAGTACTGACCTGTTTGGACGGGGTTCTCAGGGTGGCAGCAGGGCCGTCTCTAGGCCAGGCCCTCCGAAGCTCCTCTCCATGGGTCCTGGCCCATCCTGCACTGTGCATCCGGCTTGGTTGGCAGAGTGTGGAGGGAATGACGGTGCGTACAGGAAGCTGTCACTCACCAGGGCTGCCCGGGGCTCCTGGAACAGGAGGTGTGCCCACAGACCCAGCAGGTTTTGGGCTTGCTTTTCCAGTCATTTCTATCCTAAGGGCTGGAACTTGGCTCCCATCTGGGAAACTTGAATTCTGGAAGGCATTTAAGAGCCCACCTGCTGCAATCTCGGGGGTACACAGGAGGGGTGGGTGGCCAGGGGCTTCTGCTGCTGGGTCTGTGTCCTGTTGTGTTGGGCGTCGCTGAGGCTTCCTTTCATGCCCTGCCCTAACTGTGCTCCCCTTATTTTCTCTCTACAGACTCCCCTGTAATCCGTGCTCCACCCCGCCCACCTATGTGGCTCCGGCGTCCACCCCTCGTCCGAGCTGTGTCCCCCGCAGTGCCTGTGGGCCCGGTTCAGTCTGTGGAGTGAGCACTGGGAGCAGATTTTGAAGACATAGAGAGCAGCAGGGCTTGGTTCAGGCTAGGGGTTGCCCAAAGGAAAAACCGCTTGTGATATGTTTAGGAAATCTGGCTTCTGCCTATCGCTGAGTTTCTGTGCACATCGTCTTGTCCTGCGGGACACCAGGAAATGTGGCGTCTTCCTGTAGATCCTTGCTTCTCAGCTCCTGCTTTGAGCTCCGTGCCCTGGGCGGCTGGGCTGCCGTCACCTGCATGGCTCGGGCTGCCCATCCTGGGAGACTGAGCCTGGCAATCAGCTTGCAGAGATGTGCCAGGCTGGAGACAGGCATGACTTGAAGGCGTATTTGCATTTCAAGGACATCTGTTTTAACTTGAGATTTTTATAGCTCGTGACGCAGGAAGTGAGGAGTGGACATCACTGCCTGGATTTGTCCACACTCATTGGCTTGTTCCCGACATCTCCAGGCCCCGATTAGAGCCCCTGGGAGGGGGAAATAGAACCTGACTCTGACCTCTCCTCTCCTCCCTCCTTTATCCTTGAAGTTGGCCAAGTGGGAACTTCCGTCCTAGCACATCCTGAGTGCTCTCCACGTACAGGGCTGCTCTCTTTGGAAAGAACACACCAGGCTGTTCTCCTCTAGGGCGGCACGGACTCTGACTGTGCAGAGAGAATCTAAGGTGCAAGGCGATCTCTTTTCTTTCTCTGTGACTGCTGACTCTCAGACTGTTGTCTGGCTATGACCCCTCCCTGCATCCAATTTTACAGCCAAATTTGAACAAGGACCACATCCCACTCTGCCCTCCGCCCACCCCCAGCAGTAGTTCCTGAACTACTGAGCCCTGCTGAGCCCACGGGTTGAGAGACTGGCTGGGCGTGACAGTTTGAAGGAAAACAAACCACTAGGGTATTTTCACCATCTTTACACCTGCTCGTACCTGCTCCATGCTGCCCGCTGCTCACCACCCTCCAGCCACAGTGGACTTCCTGTCTCTTGGACCCCCGGAGGCCTGTTCTTCCCCCTCTCTGGAATGCTCTCCCCACTCCTTCCTGTTGTCCGGGTCTCAGCTGCAGCGCCGCCGCCTCCGAGAGCTCCTGCTTGACCCCCACACTCCCTGTCCTGCTTCTTAGCTGAAGGCCACGCATTGACCCACTGTTTCCCCCATGAAAATGTTTGCTGCTGCATCCCCAGAGTCTAGCCCACTGCTTGGTACACAGTAGAATCTCAATAAATGCTTGTTGAAAGAATGAAAGCTTCTGGTCCTTTCTCTCCGGCGTGCCGCGGGGCTCTTGTTCCATCCGTTCACACGCGTAGGCCTCAGCAGTTTTGCCCAGTATAAGGTGGGGATGGTGTTGTCTTTCCTGCTGTGTCCGGATCCCACACGGATCCCGAGGGAGGCAATGGCAGTGGAAATGCCCCACCTCCCTCACCCAGAGGCAACGTGGAATAGTGCTTAGGAGGGCGGTGCTGAGCCTCACTGGCCGGGTTCAAAGTTCTCCGGTGACCCCCAGCCATCTTCCCCTGGGCACTTACATTAATCTCCTCTAGCAAACTCAACCCAATGAAAAACAAGATTGACTCAGCACTCGGTGACTTGCTTCCACAGCAGGTTGTATCCTAGTCCTGGCATCAATCCTAAGAGCGAGAAAACTACTGCCTTCTCCGCAGCCCCCTTATGTTGAGTCCAGCCAAGGAGAGGGGTCTCAGTGCCATGGGGGGGGCTCCTTTTCTTTTGTCCCCTTTGGGAGAACCCGGCACAGTCCTGCAGGCCTTCGGGCTGAGGGCTCAGGGAGGATGCAGGTCATCCCACTCGTAGCCCTCACCTCTGACTGGGCTCCCTGCAAAGGAGCCCATCTCAGCCTCACTGCTGGTCCCAACTGTGACTGCATCAAAGAAAAAGCAAGAGGAGCAAGGGAGAAGTGACACTGGCCCCTGGGGTCAGACAGAGCAAGGGCGGCAGGGCTCAAGCCATCCTTGTCTTCCTGGGAAAGGAACCACTTCAGCTCCCGGTACTGGGCATGGGCTAGTGGTGAAGGGAATCCTTCCAGAAGAGCCTCTGTGACTGCACCTCAGCATTTGAGATCGACTGGCTGGGGTGGTTGGGGGTGAAGAACGTGGGTCTTTCTGGAAGCTGTCCCATCGCCCCATCCCCGCCGTGATCTGAGCTGAGTTGACTTTGTCCGAGAAGAGGAGCAAATGAACAAGGGGCCTGCTGTGCTGGTGCCCACTTGGGGATGCTGCCCTCACGACGCTCAGCCTTGTGCTGTGGTCCAGCTCTGTTTCCTGCCTCTGTGCCTGCTGAACGCCTTTCCTTGTGGTGAACCACAGCACCAGGCCTGCTTTTGCCTTCTCTGCCTTTGATCGTCAAAACACACGTGAAATGCAGTTTTGTGTAGCAGTGGCTTCCTCCTGCCCGGTGGTAGATGTGGTCTCTTGTCTCTGAGAACAGGACGCTTCTTCCTAGCTCTTACCGGGCAGGCATCATGACCACTTTAAAAAGGCGAGAGAGTGAAACCCACAGAGGTTAAATAACGTGACTGAGGATATATATACATTTAGCAAGTGTGTGAGCCGGGTACATCAGCTCTCATTGTATCGTATCACCCAGGTAATTTTATCTCTGGTTCCTTTCAGTGAATCTGGGCTCTCTCTCCCCCACCCCTCCTTTTGACAGGCAGAGCTAGGCAGTGAGAGAGAGAGAGAGACAGAGAGAAAGGTCTTCCTTCCGTTGGTTCACTCCCCTAATGGTCACTACGGCCAGCGTGCTGCACAGATCCGAAGCCAGGAGCCAGGTGCTTCCTCCTGGTCTCCCATGCAGGTGCAGGGCCCAAGGACTTGGGCCATCCTCCACTGCACTCCTGGGCCACAGCAGAGAGCTGGACTGGAAGAGGAGCAGCCGGGACAGAATCCGGTGCCCCAACTGGGACTAGAACCCAGGGTGCCAGCACCGCAGGCGGAGGATTAACCAAGTGAGCTGTGGCGCCAGCCTGGGCTGTCTCTTTAAAAAATTATTTATCTATGGGGGTGGGGGGAGTGTGGAGAGAGAGAAATTCCCATTTCCCATCTGCTGGTTCACTCCCGAAATGCCTGCAGCCCCTCCCAGGTTGAAGCTGGGGGCTGGGAACCCAGGCCAGGCCTCCCAAGGAGCCAACTGCTTGAGTCCCCACCTGCTGCTGCCTCCCAGGGTGTGCACTAGCAGGAAGCTGGCATTGGGAGTGGACTTGAACCCAGGCGCTCTGTACAGGACGGAGGTATCCCAATGCGCAACTGAACCGCTAGGCCAAATGCCCACCCCCAAGCTGTCCTTTAAGGGGAGCCCCTGCAACGTGAGCCCCAGAGTCATGGTGTGGCTTAGTCACTGATACACTCGGTCACATCTTGCAGGACAGTTCAAGAAGCTCCAGCTCCTTAATCCCCGGCTCATGGCTCTCTAACTCTTGCTGGTGGCAGGGGCAGGCGGCAGCCTCACTCATACACCCAAACACTGGCCCCCCTGCTGCTCCACTTCCCATCCGGCTCCCTGATGATCGCCTGGAAAAAGCAGCAGAGGACAGCCCAAGTGCCCCCCCGCCCCCCAACATGGGAGACTTGGACGAAGCTCCTATCTCCTGGCCCAGCACTGGCTGTTGCGGCCAACTAGAGAGTGAACTAGTGGATGGAGGATCTCTTTCTCTCTGCGTCGCCCTCTCTCTCTAACTCTAACTTTTGAAATAAATAAATAAGAAAAGAAAAAGAAGGATGTAGCCGGTAGCAGCTGACCATCCACGTCACTGTGGGAAGAAAAATCCATGCTCGTGTGTGCTCTGACCAAGGAATGCTGATGGTTTACAACGGAAACAGCGGCTGACGCCGTAGGCACCTCTTACTGGTTCTGACCAGGAGCGAACTGTGTGCTTCTAGGATGCCCAAACTGTTCCAGCCACATCAGCTGCAGGACGAGGAGACGTTCAACAAGTGGGGCCAAGATCCTGGGCATTTTCTCTGAGAATTACAAAAGGAGCTGAAACGTGGCTCTGCCAGCACAATCCTGCAGCCACAGCACAGCCAAGGCGGCGGCTGCTGGGGGTGGGGCACGGTGGCCCTGCGACTGTGGAGGTGGCCACGGAGGCAGACCGGCCACATGCCAAGGTCGACAGAGCCAGGGGCAGTGGATTAAGATGCTCCAGGTGTTTTGCTTGGAGACTCCCTGACGCGCCAACGGGTGATGGTGTCTGCGTGTTTTGAGGGTGTCTGGAGCAGGTTAAGCCCGAGCGTGAGCGGGGCTCACGCTCAGAGAGTCCTTCTCCACCAGGACCACCAGGATCGCGATCGCGGCTCATGCTCTCCTCCAGCAAAGGCAACCCGCTGAGAATTTCCATGGGGAGTCATCAGCCCCCAACCCCACCCAAGAGTCCTGCTTTGACTCCTTCTGAATGCCTTTTGCTTCCTAACCTTAAAACAGCTTTTCGATTTGTCTGCAGCCAGCAATGAGAATGGACTGCACTGACCTGAGGGACTGCCGGGCCCCTCCGTTCTCCCGGGCTGGGCCTCGCGGGTGCTGTCGGTGCCTACAGGTTGTCTTGAGCTGATGGGGCTTACGCTGAAGTCCATGTTCTCAATTTTCCCCGTCTTCCAACTTTCTTGTTTGCTTACCACTCTTCTGGCACAGTTGCTTTCAGAGGGTCATCTTCTTTCGAGTTACGAACTCTTTGTTGGGAGAAGACAGGTCTTCTATATGCCCCTCCCCCAGCCATTTTTATGGTGACCATGATGGTGATGGTTTGTCTCCACAGTGACACCTGGGGTCTGTTCTGAGCAATGCATTGTTAGGTGATTTTGTCATTATGTGGGTATCATAGAGTGGCTTGCACACACACAGATGGTCCAGGCTGATTTTTGTTTTTAAGTCCCGTATTTCCACGTTCTCAACCCCCCTCGTATTGGCTCAACATGCACAGGAAACGATCCTGGGACAGTGCCAGAGGAATAGACCAAGAGCGTCGAGGGGAAAGCCCTGGGCCAGTGGGGGCAGGGGGCGGAGGAGTGGTTCCTGGTCTGGCGCCCAGGGGGCTCCTCTGCCAGAGTCACTGCTCACAGAAGAAGGTGTAGAAGACCAGGGGGCTCCCGGATGCTGGGGCAGGAAGCATGATGTCCACAACCCAGCCTGCTCGGTGCACAAGTCAGGGAACCCCACAAGTACAGATGGAGCCTGCGGGAGTCCAAACTCACAGCACACTGAGCCCGTCTGCTTGCCTGTGTGCCTGTCGGACGGCCTCTTTAAACACAGAAGATCGGATACGATAGAGCCAGAATCGGGACCCACGTTCTCGGTCATCGCCGCTCTATGCTGCTGTAAGAGCCTTTGGGGCTGGCGCTGTGGCACAGCAGGTTAACGCCCTGGCCTGCAGTGCCGGCATTCCATATGCGTGCCGGTTCCAGTCCTGGCTGCTCCTCTTCCAATCCAGCTCTCTGCTATGGCCTGGGATAGCAGTAGAAGATGAACCAAGTCCTTGGGCCCCTGCACCCATGTGGGAGACCTGGAAGAAGCTCCTGGCTCTTGGCTTTGGATTGGCATAGCTCCAGCCATTTCGGTCATCTGGGGAGTGAACCAGCAGATGGAAGACCTCTCTCTCTGTCTCTACCTCTCTCTGTAACTCTGTCTTTCAAATAAGTAAAATTAAATAAATTAAAAAAAAAAGAGCCTTGTGATGGGCCCTGGTACGAGGTCAGAAGGGAGAATGTTCTGTTCCAGAATGAAGAAGCAGAAACCGTAGGAGCAGGGCACAGGAGGAGGGGCAGTGAGGAGAAGTCTTTCATCGTTCAGTCTCTCATTCCCTGGGGACCCAGGATGAGACTAAAGCGGAATAGAGCTTTAGAAATGATTGAAAATCAAACCGAGTTTCCCCAAGGAAATGGATGTTCTAATCCTACTGCTAGAAAAGAAAATGGCGACTGTTCCTTCTTCAGAAGTCAGTTGGAGCTGACCATGGAAACCACCAAGTCGCTTCAGGGCGCCCTTCCTTGCCCGGCGGTCAACTGGCCCAGAGGGTCCGAGAGGCCGGCGGGCGCAGTGGTGCCGGGGAGGAGCACTTGTGGGGGTCTCACGCTTTCCCTGGGTGTGATCCCCACAGTGGAAGCTGCGGCGGGCTGCACCTGCTTCCTTGGCTGTCTTCAGAATGTCCCCCGACAGGTCAGGACGGCGGCTGTGGGTGCGACGCGGACCCTTTGGTCTGCTCCAGCACCTCTGCTCTCTCACTGTCAGTAGATTCTAAT